CACATGCAGGACACACGATATTACACATCGTACACATGCAGGACACACGATATTACACATCGTACACATGCAGGACACACGATTATACATCGTACACATGCAGGACACACGATATTACACATCGTACACATGCAGGATACACGATATTACACATCAGGACACACGATATACACACATGCAGGACACACGATATTATACATCACACACATGCAGGACACATGATATTATACATCGTACACATGCAGGATACATTATATTATTATACATCGTACACATGCAGGATACACGATGATATTATACACACACATGCATACAGGATACATGATATTATACATCGTACACATGCAGGACACATGATATTATACATCGTACACATGCAGGATACATGATATTATACATCGTACACATGCAGGATACATGATATTATACATCGTACACATGCAGGATACATGATATTATACATCGTACACATGCAGGATACATGATATTATACATCGTACACATGCAGGACACATGGTATTATACATCGTACACATGCAGGATACATGATATTATACATCGTACACATGCAGGATACATGATATTATACATACATCGTACACATGCAGGACACATGCAGGATACATGATATTATACATCGTACACATGCAGGATACATGATATTATACATCCTACACATGCAGGATACATGATATTATACACCGTACACATGCAGGATACATGATATTATACATCGCACACATAAAGGATACATGATATTATACATCGATAGGACACATGGTATTACATCGTACACATGCAGGATACATGATTTATACATCGTACACATGCAGGATACATGATATTATACATTGTATCTCTCTCCCTGCCAGGTGTGAAAAATGTAACAAACAAAATTGTGTAAAGAAAAAAACAAAGAAAAAAAAAATATGAAAAAAAAAATTTCTAGATCAAGGTTTGATTCACTGTCAGGGTTAGTATTAGGGTCAAAGGTCAAGGTAAGGGTCAAAGTCAGGGCCAAAGGCAAGGGCAGTATTTTTTGGGATTTTAGGATTTTTTTTTAAGCATTTTTTAAATTAATATCAGTGTCAGTTGTTTCTGGACCATACTACAGGTACAAACAACAAAAAACACACACAAGTTGTATCACTGCAACCATCAGGAGCTGGAGAATTTATTTTGGGCTGTCTTTGGTGTAAGTTATGGTAATAGCAAAAAATATATACAGCTAAATTTAAAAAAAAAATTATTGTTTCTGGCCAGTTTTCCTTTGATAAAAATAAAATTAAATAATAAAATTAAATTAAAATAATCAGGAGCTATCCTGGCTCAGAGTTATGCGTTAAAGACTCTCTCCTATATATGTTACATGTGGGGTTCTCCCTTAAACTATTTTCTAGGCACAAGCTGTGACCTTGTAAGGAAGGCAACTGTTTTGTTTCAGGCAAACGACACATGATCTACCCTTATCTCTTAGCTGTACAACAGTCTTTGTCTATTGTAGAGTAAATAGATAAAATAAATATTATTTTTTAGATGTAACTGCCCAGAAATTAGTTACATAGTTAGTCTGGCTGAAAAAAGACAAAAGTCCATCCAGTTCAACCATAAAAAAAAAAAAGTTAGTGAACATTTTACTTTTTTATACATCCTATCAGGGGTGTATGTACCAGAAGGCAAACAAGGCATTTGCCTAGGGCAGCATTTTTCAGGGGGGCAGCAGCAGCATTTTTCGGGGGGGGGCAGCGCCTCCCCCCAAAAGAAAAGCTGGAAGAATGGACACACGTAGCATGGGACCAGGCGGGATCTGAGAGATGCTGAGGGCTGCTTGATGGTGTATGTAGAGCCGATTCTTGTTCCCGGGGATGTCCGGAGCTGTGAATGTAAGTGCCTTATCTCTTGCCAGGGTGGGGAGGGTGGGGTTGCCAGTGTATGGGGGGCTGGGGTGTTGTTGGTCAATGTCTCTTCGTGGGGAGGGGGGTGTTGGTCGGTGTCAGGGTCTCAACATGGGGGGGAGCCAATTTTTGTGTTGCCTAGGGAAGCATGAAACCTAAATACACCACTGCATCCTATAATACACTGACGTCACGTGATAATGATACTAAAATGGGTTTTTTTTTTCGGCCTCTTGCAGACCTTGTACAGCAGCGCAGAAGTGTGAGAAGAAGCAGCACAAGAGTCTAAACAGTTCCTGTGCTTATCAGCATGCTGATAGGAGGAGAGAGAGCAGAGTGACAGAGAGAGGACCTCCTTATTGTGTTGCTTCTCCATTCACTGTACAGCCACATCTTGGGGGGGCAGGTCCAGGATGACCTGGGCTCAGAGGAAGTGGGTTGAATGATGCTGGCCATCATTTTGAGGAAATCTAATAGCAGAAAAAAAAGTATTGTGGGGAAAATCTGTGGACTGAGGGTGAATATTACATCAAAAGCTGGATTTGGTATATTATCATGGGCTATTACATTTCACCCTGGTATGTAGAGTTCTGCCAGTTTTGGCTGCACATACATTTTATTGCCTTGATTTCAGTGTCCACATACTTTACACTATAGGGTGTACTCCTGGTATCGGGGACACGAATAGCCCTGGCTTGGGTTCTCTTGATCCTCAGGAGAATAAACTATTTCGGTTCCTCCCAAATCACGTTTACAAAGAACACAGAATGTGAGCCGTGGAATTTATGTCCACTCCCTGATAGACAGCGGCATGTGGGCAGCTGCCAGCGGCACGGCGAGCGGGATGACGTCTAGGATATAATGTGACGGGAGAACTGAGAGCCTTATGGTGTCTGTGACTCCTTCAAGGTCAATGAAGATGTAAAATATCGGAAAGCTGTAAGTGCCTCCCCCCCCTGACAGCTATGGCAGGGGCAAGAAGGTGACAACGCCAAAATGAGGACACAAACATTGTTTTTCAATTTATATACATATACTTGTCCATAGTCATTCTTTATGGAAGATATAGGAGGGTTTACAGCTGAAGGCTCAGTCCATGCAGTCTGATACTTGGGTGTTAGAGAGGTAAGCTCCTCGACTATCTCTTCTGTTTCTTAGGGACTCTATTGGTTAGATCCCTACACTGAATTCCCAGGTCTGCGCATCTGCCCATTATGAGGGGTTCACACCATCCCTGTGCTGAGTTCCCGGGTCTGTACACCCGCTGTGCCCATTATGAGGGGTTCACACCATCCCTGTGCTGAGTTCCCGGGTCTGTACACCCGCTGTGCCCATTATGAGGGGTTTCCACCATCCCTGTGCTGAGTTCCCGGGTCTGTACACCCACTGTGCCCATTATGAGGGGTTCCCACCATCCCTGTGCTGAGTTCCCGGGTCTGTACACCCGCTGTGCCCATTATGAGGGGTTCCCACCATCCCTGTGCTCAGTTCCCGGGTCTGTACACCCGCTGTGGCCATAATGAGGGGTTCCCACCATCCTTGTGCTGAGTTCCCAGGTCTGTACACCCGCTGTGCCCATTATGAGGGGTTCCCACCATCCCTGTGCTCAGTTCCCGGGTCTGTACACCCGCTATGGCCATAATGAGGGGTTCCCACCATCCCTGTGATGAGTTCCCGGGTCTGTACACCCGCTGTGCCCATTATGAGGGGTTCCCACCATCCCTGTGCTGAGTTCCCGGGTCTGTACACCCGCTGTGCCCATTATGAGGGGTTCCCACCATCCCTGTGCTGAGTTCCCGGGTCTGTACACCCGCTGTGGCCATAATGAGGGGTTCCCACCATCCCTGTGATGAGTTCCCGGGTCTGTACACCCGCTGTGCCCATTATGAATGGTTCCCACCATCTTTACGCTGAGTTCCCAGGTCTGTACACCCGCTGTGCCCATTATGAGGGGTTCCCACCATCCTTGTGCTGAGTTCCCAGGCCTGTACACCTGCTGGGCACATTATGAGGGGTTCCCACCATCCCTGTGCTGAGTTCCCAGGCCTGTACACCTGCTGGGCACATTATGAGGGGTTACCACCATCCCTGTGATGAATTCCCAGGCCTGTACACCCTCTGGGCCCGTTATGAGTGATTTCCACCATCCCTGTGATGAATTCCCAGGCCTGTACACCCTCTGGGCCCGTTATGAGTGATTTCCACCATCCCTGTGATGAATTTCCAGGCCTGTACACCCTCTGGGCCTGTTATGAGGGGTTCTCACCATCCCTGTGATTAATTCCCAGGCCTGTACACCCTCTGGGCCCGTTATGAGGGGTTCTCACCATCCCTGTGCTGAGTTCCGGGTCTGTACACCCGCTGTGGTCATTATGAGGGGTTCCCACCATCCCTGTGCTGAGTTCCCGGGGTCTGTATACCTGCTGTGCCCATTTCTGGGTTCGTAGATGGACAGTCCTGATAAAAAGTAAGTTGAGCCCATGAAAATGACTTGTTCCCCATATTTGTAGAGTCAAACATTAGATATTGATGCAAATAGTCCCTACAGATATAGTCGAACAAATCACACATACAATTGGGAAAAGTTGTGGAACCCTAAGAGTCCAGCAAGGGATTGATTTTGAAAGATCGTAAAATGATTTGAAATCAATCCTTCCACCGCAAGGAAAATAATCTACAAGTGGCATAGATTCCACACAACTACTAATTGGTCCAGGACAGGACTGAGCCAGCAAATCCAACCTCCACAGCTGATTGGTGCTAGAAGAAGTCTCCAAGAACCCCAAAAAGTCATTGTGAGGTGTTCAGGAAGCCCTTGCTTGGGGTCAAAGTGTATGTATCTCCAATCAGAAAGAGATTGTCCAAGTTCAACCTGGAGGAAAGGTGTGTAAACCCGTAATGACTGGGAGCAGTATGGGTTCTGTATCATGTGATCACTGTGATTGGCTCTTCATCACATGATTGGGAGCTTATCCTGCTGGTTCACGATCAGAAGCCATGACTGAGAGCTGTCGGTGACAACCAGGGCGGACTGACCATTTGGAAACTCAGGCAATGCTCAAGGGCCCGGGGTCAGTAGGGGGCCCCATGAGATGCCCCTGGTACCTTTTTCATAGGCTTTTTTGAGTTTGGGCAAGGACACAGGGGCCCCATGATCCCCTATTGCCCGGGGTCCCCATGAGTTGTCAGTCGGCCCCTGGTGACAACAGAGTGTGGAGAGCACGTAGCATGATCTAAGCACTCAGAAGCTCATACCACGGTGGAGCCATATGCGTGGCCGGCAATAAAGCCCACTTTTCTTACCGCCACACCCAGATGTCAGCAAGATGTCAAAAGCCAGCTTTTGTAGCCTATTTCAGCCTCGATAAACACCAGACCAGGGGCGGACTGACCATTCGAGCACTCGGGCACTGCCCAAGGGCCCGGGGTCAGTAGGGGGCCCCATGGTACCTTTTTTATAAGCTTTTTTGGGTGTGCTTTGAGTGTGGGCAAGCACACAGGGGCCCAGGGGCGGACTGACTATTTGGAAACTCGGGCACTGCTCGAAGGGCCCGGGGTCAGTAGGGGGCCCCATGAGATGCCCCTGGCAGCTTTTTCATTGGCTTTTTTTAGTTTGGGCAAGGACACAGGGGCCCCATGATCCCCTATTGCCCAGGGGGCCCCATGAGTTGTCAGTCCGCCCCTGCACCAGACTTCTTTACCAGGGGTTGGTCAACCTATCAGTCATGATCTGCCCATCAACTACTAGACCATCAGGCTAGTCCCGGAGGGTAGTAGCATAGTGCTGGTCCTGCCCCTCGCTGTCATCCTTACAGCAGAGCGGAGAGGGGGAGGCAGCACAGTTCTGGACAGAGGGTGGGAGCGGGAGCTGCCCCAGGTAACCTTTCAAGTTAACTAGCAGATGATTGGTTGCTAGGATGCAGGGCTGTCCTAACAACCAATCACCAGTTTGTTATTATGATGAAAAGTGAACTCCGGCAGATTCTGCTCCATCCAGAACTGTGCTGCCTCCCGCTCTCCACTCTGCTGTACACTTGATACTGCTGTGTTTGTGTGTGTGTGGAGGGGCAGATGACACCGCTAGGGCGGGAGAGAGGACACTACTATGGGGGGGGTACAGGAAACTGCTAGGGAGGGACAGAGGACACTACTATGGGGGGGGGGGGTGTAGAGGAAACTGCTATGGGGAGCAGTGGACACTGCTTTGGAGAGGCACAAGACACTACTGGAAGGGGGGAGGGGTGATGTGAAGGGGCAGAGGACACTGCTATGGAGGGGGGAAGTTGTTGAAGGTGGCAGAAGACACTGCTTTGGAGGGGGGGGTTGTGAAAGGGGGAAGACACTGCTTTGGAGAAGACACTGCTTTGGAGGGGGGGGGGGTTGTGAAGGGGGCAGAAGACACTGCTTTGGAGGGGGGGTTGTGAAAGGGGCAGAAGACACTGCTTTGGAGGGGGGGGGGGGTTGTGAAGGGGGCAGAAGACACTGCTGTTGGAGGGGGGGGGGGGGTGGAGGGGGACACTGCTTTGGAGGGGGGGGTTGTGAAGGGGGCAGAAGACACTACTGCTGGAGGGGGGGGGTTGTGAGGGCGAAGAGGACACTGCAGGGAATAGACACTACTATGGGGGGGGCAGAGGAAACTGCTATGGGGAGGGGGCTTTGGAGAGGCACGGGACACTCATGTGGGGGGGGGGAGTAATGTGAAGGGGGCAGGACACTGCTAGACATAGCTTTGGAGGGGGCTATGGGGAGCAGTGGACACTGCTTTGGAGAGGCACGGGACACTCATGTGGGGGGGGGGGGGTAATGTGAAGGGCGAAGAGGACACTGCTATGGGGGGGGGGGGGGGTTGTGAAGGGGCAGAAGACACTGCTATGGAGGGGGGGCAGAAGGGACAGAAGACACTGCTATGGAGGGGGGTTGTGAAGGGGCAGAACACACTGCTATGGAGGGGGGTTGTGAGAGGCAGGGACACTGCTATGGAGGGGGGGGGGGGGGCAGTAAGGGGGGTGTGAAGGGGGCAGAACACACTGCTATGGAGGGGGGGTTGTGAAGGGGCAGAAGACACTGCTATGGAGGGGGGTTGTGAAGGGGGGCAGAAGACACTGCTATGGAGGGGGGTTGTGAAGGGGGCAGAAGACACAGTGAAGGGGACAGAACACACTGCTATGGAGGGGGGTTGTGAAGGGGCCAGAAGACACTGCTATGGAGGGGGGTTGTGAAGGGGGCAGAAGACACTGCTATGGAGGGGGGTTGTGAAGGGGGCAGAAGACACTGCTATGGAGGGGGGTTGTGAAGGGGACAGAAGACACTGCTATGGAGGGGGGTTGTGAAGGGGGCAGAAGACACTGCTATGGAGGGGGGTTGTGAAGGGGGCAGAACACACTGCTATGGAGGGGGGTTGTGAAGGGGGCAGAAGACACTGCTATGGAGGGGGGTTGTGAAGGGGGCAGAAGACACTGCTATGGAGGGGGGTTGTGAAGGGGGCAGAAGACACTGCTATGGAGGGGGGTGGAAGGGGGCAGAACACACTGCTTGGAGGGGAAGGGGGCAGAAGACACTGCTATGGAGGGGGGTTGTGAAGGGGGCAGATTTTCATATATTGTTGTTGATTAGTCACAAACTTTTTTTGCACGATTCACGTGTTATTCACTGTTGAATCTGATCCCATTTTGTGCACTTATTTTGCACGGATACATTTATACACGAGTAAGGTAGTTGATTTATGATTTAGAAGGCGATACACTATTGTAAGTTTATTTTTTCGAGGTATCACAAGGATTGGAATAGGAATTGGAAGGTCAACCTACTGGACTATACATTTTTGGAGGACTATTGTATCGTTTGGACTATTTTTATTTACATTTGGACATTTATTTATATTTATTTTATTTTACTTTGATCTATTTATTATTTTTGGATTATTTAATTCTATTATTATCATAATTGTATTATCATCATCATTTATTTATCGATTTATTCATTTATGAAATTATTTATTATATATTTGGGATTTAGAATATTTATTTAGGTGGTTGGGATAGGTTGCAATCCTATCTTTTGGATTTTGGGAGATTGGTATAAGAAAGGTATAATATTGTCATAACCCTCTATTGCTTCTATTTGAGCCATTCCTTAGTGGAAATGCTAGTGTGCTTTGGAAACTTACTGTATTGTGTTGTGAGATGCATTTCTGGTTCAGCTTTAGCTTTTGGACAGATAGCCCCACATTCTGATTAAGCACACTTTGATTTGATGCAGAGTGTATAGGTGACTTGATGACTGCAAGCTGCTCAAACCCTAAAGCACAAAGCCACCCGAAACTATAATATTTTCACCACCATGTTTCAAAGTTGGTATGAGATTTTTCTGAAATGCCATCTTTGGTTTGCAGCAAACCTCCACTTTTACTTTGACCAAACAAACCTACCTTTTGATTGATCAGTATTCAGCATATTGTTTTAGAACAGGGGTAGGCAACCTTTGGCAGGTGGAGATCTACCTTGACAACATGGAAGAGTTTAAAGATCCCCATGGTATGGCACCCTTTTTTGAAAAATAAATTAACTATTAAGCCCCCAACAAAAAGATGGCATAAAGAACACATAGGGCATAATAATTGTATTATCATCATTTATTTATCAATTTATTCATTTATGAAATTATTTATTGTATATTTGGATTTAGAATATTTATTTAGGTGGTTGGGATAGGTTGCAATCTTATCTTTTGGATTTTGGGAGATTGGTATAAGAAAGGTATAGTATTGTTGTATTTACTTTCAAGGGTGAAAGTGTCACTTTCTTTATGGGATGATTAGGGGGGGTATTTTATGTTTGTAAGGTGACCGAGATATTATTAATTATAATAGAGGGTTATGGACCGTCCTAATCAAAGCCCTGACTTTATTCCCATTGATGTTTTGCGGGGGGAGTTGGAAATTGGAATTTCATGCAAGGAAACCCACAACTGAAAGAATTTTGCATGGAGAAGTGGTCAAAAATTTTGGGTTGAATAGTTTGTTTCTGACATGACATACAAGATATATATATATATTTTTTTATTTATTTAATTTTTTTTTACATGGTTTTAACCGCATGCCGCCCAGCCACTGTAGATATACGGCGCAGGGCGGCACTCGCAGGCAAAACCACGTTTTAAAATGTGTGTTTTGCAAACAAATAGGGGGCGCGCGCGAGGCGCACCGCCGCCCTATCTGTCCCGCCGATCACCGCCGCATATGTGAGTCGCCAGGTCACAGCCGGTCCTTAGCGGCTGTTTTCCGGCGATCGGCAAACAGTGACAGAGAGCACAGCTGCAGTAGCTGTGCTGTCTGTCACTTCCCTGTCAGCTCGAGGATGAGCTGATCGAGAAAGAACAGTTTCTCTTTCTCGATCAGCCTTGTCCCACCCAGTACACACCCCGCCCCCTAGTAAAACACTCCCCCTCACTCCTATAACCCTTCCCTGCAAAATAAAGTTAACCCCTTCCTCCCCATTGCCATTAGTACAGTGTCATTGTTTTTTTTTTTTTTTGCTCTGATCACTGTTTTTGGGGATGTCAGTGACCCCAATTCAGTACCCCCCAATGTCAGAATGTCCGCCGCAGTCCCGCCATAAGTCGCTGGTCACTGCCATAAGTCCCTGATCGCCCCCATTATTAGTATAAAAAAAAACCTAAAAATCCCAGTATCTTTCCCGCCATTTGTAAACGCTATAACTTTCACGTAAACCAATTAATTTACACGTATTGGGTTTTTTTTTTTTTTTTAGCAAAGACATGTCGCAGAATGCATTTTGGCAGAAATTTATGACTAAATTTGATTTTTGCTTTTTTTTTTACTGGACATGTTTTATAGCAAAAAGTCCAAAATATTGTTTTTTTTTCCTCAAAATTGTCAGCCTTTTTTTTATAGCGCAAAAAAATAAAAACCGCACAGGCGATCAAATACCACCGAAAGAAAGCTCAATTTGAGGGGAAAAAAAGGATGTAAATTTCATTTATGTACCGTATTGCATGACCGCGCAATTGTCCGTTAAACTAGCGCAGCGCTGTATAGCAGAAAAATGGCGTAAATTGCAGTATCTATACCATAGTTTGTAGACACTATAACTTCCACACAAAGCAATCAATATACACTCATTGGGATTTTTTTTACCAAAAACATGGAGCAGAATACATT